CAGCCGCAACGCTCTCGGATTGACCCATCGAGATTATACCCAGAAGAGAATTTGACCTTCTTCAGCTCGAGATTACCTACGGATTGGAATTGGAGAATGAAAAGTTCAGTAGCGCATTTATACAAACAGTTGGAAGGCACGGTTTATGTAAAAATTCATAATTGCGCATTTTGATTTACGAAATTGAAGCTGATTTAAAAACAGAATTAAGGAAATTAAAAGCAAAACTGAATCTTAAATACTTGTATGGGACTAGCAAAGAAACTGATCGATTGAGCGCAGGGAAGCCCAATGCGAGGCCAACGCCTACAATTTGATTAACAAAATTTATTTAATTATGCCTAATTGGCATTTACACACCTTATACTTTTCCCTATTACACACTTTTATGTACTCTCAGTTATTTTTGGTAGCAGCTACAGAACCCTGGAGTTTTTTAAAGTCGCAATTTAATACATGTGTGTGCAAATTTGAGAATCTTGCTCTGATTTTTCCTACGTGACACTAATAAGTTAATTGTAGAACTTTTTTAGCTTTTAATATTTGTTAAATTTACTGTATAAATTATGACATGTATAAAGGTAAGTTCACTAAGCATTAAAGATTGAAAAGTTCTTAACTTTGCTTTAGAAAGTCACGTACAAAAGTTCAGCGTAAAATTCTCACGTTCGCATAATATAAGATATTAAAGTTTAAGTTTTAGAAAGAGCAAATTTTCACTGTAAACCCAAATCAAGTTTTAATTATCAAAATTGACCCATTTTTTTTAATTACCAAAATCGACCCATTTTATGCCACGTAAGCTTAATCCCATTTTCTAATTAGTCGGGGTTGCCAACCCCGACTGTTTAGGAGTTGTTAAACCCTAATTAGAAGCCTTAAACCCAATTTTTAATGCCCTAAACAGTCGGGGTTGCCAACCCCGACTAATTAAAAAATGTGATTAAGCTTACGTGGCGTAAAATGGATCGATTTTGATAATTAAAACTTGGTTTGGGTCTACAGTGAAAATTTGTTCTTTTAGAAACTTCAATGTAATAAGTGCCGCTAAAAACAAGTGCAGTTACATAGGTGAAAGGCAGAGAAACTATAAGGTAATTAAGTGGTACTCAGCATTTAATTATGTAAGGTTATCTCATGACTAAACTTTACTTTATTTTTTTTCAATAATAATGGATCCTTCGGGACTTATGGATTTGAATCTTCATTGATGAGTATATATAATCTACGTAAAGCTTTATAATTTTCACAGCATTGTATCGATTTTGTTTTATATGATTTTCACTTCCTAGATAAAGAAAATCAAGAAGGTGCAGTTCATTACATGTCTTCATTGTTACTCCGTTATCAAAACATTCTAATCATTAATTCATTACAGATTAACAAACACACTTACCATTCACAGTGGATGATCCGGACGTTTAGAAGGTTCCGCTATGACTCTCACAGCCTCGAGTTCGACTACAGGATTGGGTTAGCAAATAATAATAAATAAACACTAACCAACCATTTCATAATTTAGTTTAAATTAACGAAGTTAGGTCCTTCTAATGGAAACACAAGTTCAGAAAAGTTTGATAGGGGAATAAAAAAGGAGAATTATTTACAGCTAAAGTCTCCGGAAAACGACAAGGGAAGTAGCCGTTGCCTTGACATCCTATCACTTTCCCAACGGCACTCTCTCCCTCCACATCCCAACGTTCAAATTCCCAGCTCCTTTAAAAAACCCCCCCTCAACTCTCCCAACCTCACACTCACCAACTAGCTTCCATTTCTCTTTAAAAAAAAAAATCCCAAAAGCTCTCTTTAAAAAAAAATAATCATCATCATCAAAATCAAAAGCGGAAAAAATGGCCATCCTCTCCTCCTCCTCCACCTCCCTCACCCACAAACTCTTCCTCCTCTCCAACTACATCCTCATCG